ATGCTAATGAGATTCTGAATCTTTCTACCTGGTCAACATTAGTAATTTGGACGAATGGGGAAGGGGCGGCAAGGGGCTGCCTACTTCAGTCATTTGATGATCTTATGGAGATTTCTAGCTCATCCAGATTTCAATATTAGAGATTCACTCCTTTGGCCAAATAAATGTTGGTAATATGTAAAGTGAATCCATAATGATAATGAACCTGGAGCCCTGTCACACATTAGGTGAATGAGTTGAGTTCTTTCTGGAAAAGTGTGATGGAGCAATTGGGGGTTGGTGGACTTGGGAAAATTCTGAGGAAGGAGATGGAAACCCCAACATGTCAAACTTCATAGGCAAGCTGCAGGAATGCTGTCTGCTGGGTGGAAAGTATAGACTCCCCTGCCATTTAATGGGGGGTTATTTGTAAATGTATGTGGATATCCTTGCTTGTCACAAAACTGGGGGGTGCCACTGGCATTTAGTGAGCACACGCCAGAGATGCTAAACACTTTACGATGCACAGGACTGACCCGAATAGCAAGAACTATTCCATAAAAAATGCCTACAATGCCACCATGGATAACACTAGAGGATGCCAAATAAGGTTGGTAAGTTGGCCCCTTGCAGAGCCGTGATTACCGAAGCTGGCTGTACCCCGATGAAAATCAGAGGGAGGGAGAGCCCAGGAATTAGAATTTTTACAACAACTTGCAGGGCAGTTCTGATAGGCAGCCTGCTTGTCTGCTCTCTAGCCATGGCTTAGGGCAACCTGGTGGACTACTCTTTGTCTTCTGGTTAAAAAAGAAAAAGGCCAGTGTTTGTTGTAGGGACTTCAGGATGCAATTATCACAGATCGCCCTGACAAGTGGCCCTACCAGGGTCTAAGTTCAGGAGCACTGCAAACATTTCCTATTGAAGTTCAACCCACACAGAAAACTGCACAGGTAGTAAGTGTGGAGCTCAATGAAAATGTACAAAATACACAAAATTAACAAAGCAAACACACTTGTATAATTATCGCCTAGATCGAGAAGTTTCCAGAAGGCCCTCTCTAGCCCCAAGGGTGACGACTACTTTGATGTCAAACAGCATAGATTCGTTTTATCTACTTTGAACTCTATATAACAGGAATGATATACTATGTTCTCTTGTATGTTTAATTTCTTTGGTTCAAAATCATGTTTGTGAGATTCATCCATGTACTTGTACGCAGCTGCAGAGGGCTCCATGTGTGAGCGTTACACAGTGTATTGATCTCTGCTATTGAAAGACATTTGGAAGGTCCCAATTTTTGGCTAGGACAAATATGCTGCTTACACATTCTAAGGTATGTCTTTTAGTGGACATATGTCTTCCTTTCTCCTAGATCTATTCCCAAGTGTGCCAGTGCTGGGTCATAGGGTATTCAAATATCCAGCGATGGTAGAAATGGCCAGTTTTCCAAAGCAGTTATACCAAATTACACTCCATCCAAGAGACTAGGAGAGTTGGAAGTGGTTTCAGATCCATGTCAGTGACCCAGGCAAGTTTTTAAACCTCTCTCAGCCTCAGTGTTTTCATTTGCGTAATAGGACTTCCGTGAAGACTCAGTAGAAGCTTTACTGTGGAAGTCACTCTTTTCTGAAAAGCTCCGAGGTCTGTTAGAAGTCTCTGCAGGTAGTGCTCATGCACAGATACTCAGCCATCTTCCCGGGAAAGTCCATCACAGCAAATTGTATGTCAGTTCAACTTTGCATGGTGAAGCCTTCTCATGTGACTGGCTGTTTGCATCCATTCACATGGGATTACTTTTTGTCTCATAGTAATTGCCATGTATCTTTGAGATAGGAAGCAACATCTAATACAAAACTCATTAATATTTGTTGAGACTTGTACACACCCCATCTCCTTACAACTCTGATCGCTCTTGGTTTCATCATTTTGTTTCTACCTTGACAAGTTAGAAAATCTTGGAGGTGTTGTAGGCAACCTCTAAAGGCTTACCCACAGGCACAGAATGGAGAATAAAGATATATAATCTTTTCCAGAATGTTCCAAATGAACCTAAATACTGATAGGGGAGGGTATTAACTGGGACTCAACTGGCTAAGACTTGAAAAAATATTTGTCTTCTTCATCCTCTTCCCTTCCCCTCTCTCCCACCCCTGCCATCCAGTCTGCACATTGCTTTGTGAAAAATTCAGGGGTTTCCTGGCAAATCTACTTTGGAGGATAGGTCAGTGATATCTTATGAACCCTGTGACATACAAATTTCGTGCCCAGGGCTATTCCTACAGAGATGCAGCTTAGAGGCACCAGAAGGCAGGGATGTTTAAGAGCCCCAACTGGAAACAACTCAAATGTCCACCAACAGGATAATGGATGGTCAAATTGTAGCCTACCTTCCATGGAATACTATATAGCCATGAAAATGAATCACTTGCAACTGCATGTGACAACAAATGAATCTTCAAGACATCATGTTGAGCCAAAGAAGCCAGTCCTCACACAATACATACTATGTGATTCCATTTAGAGAGAACCCCAAAAAGATGCAAAATAGAACTGCATTGTTTAGGAATACACAATGAATTGGTGCAAGCATAAAGAAAAGATAGGTTGCTAATACCCTAAAGTCAGGATGGTGCTCACTGCTGGGGGCGGCGGTGTGTGTTTATGGGGAGCTGGCAATGGTCCGTGTCTAGCCCTGGACTTGAGTGTTAGTTTTATGAGTGTTCGTTTCACAGCATTTTCTTAAACTGTACATTTGTGCTTTAGCCATTTTTCTGTGCTCACACATGGAGCCCTCTGCAGCTGCGTACAAGCATTTTTCTGTTTATTCAGTTTCACAATATAAAAAGGGGAGCGGGAAACAAATTGCAGTGGCTCTGGAGAGAAGCAAACACCCTGCGAAGTGTGCCACCCAGAGGCGCCCGCCCGCCCGCCAGCCAGCCCGGCCCTGGCCAGTGCTCTGCTCCTGGCAGTTACGATCTGCCCCCGCTGTGGTCTTTTCAAAGATGGGGTGAAGCATTTTAAAAAATATTTTTCACTTTTCAATAGCAGTTCATATACAATATTAGATTATTTTCAGGTGTGATGATACATTTATATAACTTATATATAAATGTGATAGTGATGAGACATTTATATAACTTACAAAGTGATCCCCAGATAAATCTAGGTCCCATCTGACACCATACATAGTTATTACAATATTATTCACTGTATTCCCTGCGCTGTACCTCACGTCCCCACGAGTATTTGTATATGCCAATTTGTACTTCTTAATCTCTTACCCTTTTACCCAGCCCCCTGCAACTCCCCTCCCATCTGGCGTATCTATGAGTTTGTTTCTGTTTTGTTTTTATTCCACATACAAGTAAAATCATATGGTATTTGTCTTTCTCGGCCTGACTTTTTCCACTTAGCATAACACCCTTTAAGTCATGTGTATCTTTTATTCCAGCTTGTGGGCCTGTGTGATATAAAACTTTGACAGAAGTACCCCCAAACCATTCTTCCAGTTTCCAAATTTTGTCTTTTGCTAAATAGACCACACTTGTGTAGAGATGGACTAATTGCACCTCTAGACACCAAACCCCTTCTTTTTCTATCTTTAAAGTTGTTTCCCCCTTTCCTCCCTCCTTCCGCTCGCAAGATGCCGGGTGCGTCCGGTTGTCTGCAACCGAAGTGGACGGAACCCGTTGGAAAACAAGGTTTCCTCCCCAGGGAGGAGGAATCTGTCGTCCCAACTTCCCCGCAGCCTCCCGACCATCCTGCTCTCCCCCACAAACTCCGCGGAGCCAGGTCCCCTCGCGCCTCCGCAATTGGTCGCGGGCCATCATGTGTCGACACTCTGGGTGGGTCCTTCTCGCGTTCAACTCATTAATCGCTCCTCTTTGGAGCCTGGCTGCCCAGTGGTTCAGACCTTTGCGCCCATTTCTCCCCTTCCCTTCCTCTTCACCCACCCCTTCGCAGCGGTCTTATTTTAGCAAAACCAGGAGAAGGAGGAGGAGGCTTTTGGGGTGGGGGGGAAGGGAACGCCAGGCATTGCAGCATCCGGGAGCAGCTATTGAGTGGCTAAGCGACGGCGCATACCTCTCTCCCTTTTTTTTATCTCTGTTGGGAATTTTCAGGATTTCATTGCTGCAATTTAACCCCAGGATGAGGCACGGTTGAGCGAAGCGCTGCGCGCACATACACGCACACCCAGCAGAAGAGGCAGCCGCTGGTGATTCAGGAAGGAAAAAAAATCACCCGGACCCCGCGGCCTCAAGACTCCTTAGGAGCCTCCCCGGAGCTTCCCCTCTCCTCCCCTCCTCTCCTTCCCCGTTAATAGTCTTCACTTTGATTTTATTTTTGGGCTACGGATCTTTCAGCATTTTTAAGGTCTAGGAACTCAAGCAAAACAAAAAGGGCGATTTTTAATTTGGGGAGCTGTCCTCCTCCCAGCAAAGACCTGGTTTTTATTTTTTTCTAATAAAATTTTTAAAATGGGCCGAGCGCACTCCTTTTGCAAGATGCCAGCCTGACCCGTACCTCGGAGGAATTTGAAGCTTCCACTGCGTCCCGGGGGGGCGTCCTTTGCAAACCGCTTGCGTCTTAAAGGGGGTGTGCGTTGGTTTTTTTTTTTTAAAGTGCCTTTTTTTTTTTCCCTTTCTCTCTCGCTCTCTTTTTTTTCCGGAGTGGGTGGCCTGGGGATTGCCTGGATTCCTTCCTCGGTTATTTTTTGCCTCGCTTCCCTCTCCCCTCCCCCTCCCGGCCCCCGCGCCCCGCCCCCGCCCCTCCTTCTCCGGGGTCAGCCAGGAAGATGTCCCGAGCTGCTATCCCCGGCTGGGGCCGGCCAGCCGCCTGGTGAGCCCCCGACCCGAGGCGCCGCGCCGCCGCCCGATGGGCTGGGCCGGGCAGCGTCTCCGCAGTCGCAGCCCCGGCCGCCGTCTTCGCAGCCCCGGCAGCAGCAGCAGCGGCATCGGCGGCCGCCGCGTCTTCCGCATCGTTCGCCGCAGCGTAACCCGGAGCCCTTTGCTCTTTGCAGAATGGCCCGCTTCGGAGACGAGATGCCGGCCCGCTACGGGGGAGGAGGCTCCGGGGCAGCCGCCGGGGTGGTCGTGGGCGCCGGAGGCGGGCGAGGAGCCGGGGGCAGCCGGCAGGGCGGGCAGCCCGGGGCGCAAAGGATGTACAAGCAGTCAATGGCGCAGAGAGCGCGGACCATGGCCCTCTACAACCCCATCCCCGTCCGACAGAACTGCCTCACGGTCAACCGGTCTCTGTTCCTCTTCAGCGAGGACAACGTGGTGAGAAAATACGCCAAAAAGATCACCGAATGGCCATATCCTTTGCCCGAAGCCCGGCGGCAGCTGCGCCTCCCCCTCCTCCCTGGCTTCCCCTCTCCCAGGCTGGGAGGGAGACCCGGGGGTTGATGGGAGGTGGGGGGGTCTTCCAGGGGCTGGGAGAGGGGGCACCGGGGAGGAGTGTGCAGAATCTCTCCACCCCGAGCTGGGTTGAGCTACCGTGGAGGCTTGGGGTGGGGGGACCGGGGGAGTGGATTCCTCCTAAGGACCTGTTCCAGACGAGGGCTAGGCCCTGGGGTCGTGCAGGGGCCTTGGGGAGGCCTTTTGAGACAGTTCCCGAGGGGTCAGAGTTCTCCCGAATGCGCTGGGACCGGGACCGGGGCTGCGGCCTGGGTGCCCTGGCCGGGGCAGGGGAACCACGGGGGCCTCGGTTGGGCTTCCTTAGCCTCTCCTCACCGGAATTCGTGGTTCCACCAGAGCCAGAACCCAACTCTAGTTCTCTGGCCCCTCCCCAAGGTGGGAGCTGCACTCTTAGGGCACGTAGGGGTTCCCAGGGCCAGGAGTGAGGGGGAGAACATGAAGCCTTCACACGGAGGGGCCGGCACCGGCCTGAGTGGGCCACCGGCTGGACAGGTTGGGGGGCACTTATTCTCCTCATGTCTGCAGGTCCGTTTTCCTCCCACCTTGTGGGGTATAGAAGACATCCCAGTGGCCCCATCTGGGGCCCTGACCTGGAAGACCCAGGATGGGCTCTTTCAGTAGGAAAGATGGGCAGGAAAAACGAGCTGTTGGGTCCTTCCTAGAGGGCCGTGTCAGGCCTCGGGTTGGATTCCGCTTCTCCCACCGTTGGGAGCCGCGCGGGCACACCAGGAGAATCAGCACCCATGTGGACATCTCGGGCAGGTAAACTCCTTTTTTTCTAAAAAAAAAATAAAAAAAAAAATCAAAGATCCAGAGGAAGGTGAAGACCACATTTTCCTCTATTCAGATGCTACAAAATGCAGATACCCCCTGTGTTTCTTTAAATCCGTGACTGCTTGAAATAAACCTTGAGGAGGGCTTAACATCTGTTGAGATGTAGGCAGGCAAGGGTGGGTAATTAGCCGGGCTTTCTAGCAGTTATCTAAGCATGACCCAGATTCCAAGCAAGGGGACGCACCCTGCCCCCCAGGCTGACCGGCCACCGTGCCCAAATGTGCCGCTTCCCGGCAAGGTTCCAACTGGCTGCTCTCGGTGTAAAAACAGGGCTGCATGGGTCCCCGGGGCTCAGCGGTGAGCCCCCACCCATTTTGTCTATGGTTTTGACTGTTAAATACTCAACAGGGCCGGGCCCTGGGTGGTCCTGGAGTTGGTTATTTGAGGAGCGTGGTGGTGGGCGGATTCACTTTTAATGGGGCTGAGGATTGAGCCAGACTTTTGGTTTTTGGGTGCTTAAATTATCACAGAGGGCGCTGAGGTTTTGGAGGGTGTGAACAGTCTACTTTGAGGGTGGTGAAAATTAAGAGGTTCAGCCGGGGCCCTTCCAGAGGGGTGCACCCCTAAGCACGATGGGTGCCCAAAGCTGGAGCCAGGGCTCTGCCTGCTAAGTTCCAACCTCTCCGAGGTCTTGTGATCACTCTGCCTGCCCCCCTCCCTGGAGGGCCACTGGGAGCTTGGAGGATGGCAAGATGTCACTGTGGGTACTGCCTTGCTAACAGGGGGTGTCCAGGAAGAGTTCACTGGGCTGACAGGTTTCCAAGTCGAAAATGGCTTTAGATCGCCTTCTGGATCGTGGATTTGGCATCTTCTACGAGGAAAGGCAGGAGGTGGGAGTCCTAATGTGTCCTTAGCTCACCCCAGTCCAGCCTGCATCCTGCAGACAGGGCTGTTGGGGAGGCAGGGGATTGCTCAGGGGAGGGGTACAGGTGAACTGGGAGTGTCGGTGAGTACTGAGAATTCCTTTGGCTTTCATGCTCTTGATAGCTTTGTGATGAGTTTGTGCATTTTGCTCTCCGCAGTTTTTGTTCTCTCTTTGGCCGGAGGCAGCAAACACATCGTACAGCCCCACTCTGGAAGGGAAAGCTCTCCATCCCTCAATCTGTCACGGAGCAGGTCACCCAGGACTGAGCTTTCTCTGGGGAGGCTGAGAGGGGTGGGGACAGAGAACTGGGGGGCTGGATAAGGGAATTCAGGCCAGTACCAGGCGGTGGAAATGCTGCCGAGTTGGTGTACCAGGACAGAATCCAAGTACCTATGCCATTTAAAAAGCGTGTTTAAGTACTTTTTATGAACTTTTAGAATAAAGTCTGATATGTGTATAAGAGAGTACACATGCTCAGTCCCCTTAACAAGTGTTCACAAAGTGAACACACGCGTGCAGCTGGCTCCCGGGAGGAGGAAAAGGCCGTGACCATCCCCCCCAGCGCTGCCATCATGCCCTCTCCCATTCACTTCCCTACAAGCGGAGCTGCCAACCTGACATCCAACCCCCGTAGACTCTTGTTGCCTCTTTTCGAACAGCCTGTAAATGGAGTCATAGTCTGTATTATTTTGTATTTGGCTTCTTTCGCTCCACAAGATTCATCCAAGTTGCTGCCAGTCGTTCTAGGTTGTTCCTTCACATTGCTCTGTGGTATCTGATTGTGTGACTCAAACACAGGTACTTATTCTCTCTGCTGAGGGCCACTGGGGTAGTTTCCAGAGGGTGCTGTTGGGAACATCGTTGTACATGCCTTTCGTTGAACTTTTACTTTGCATTTCTTTTGGGTCCGTACCTAGGAGTGGAATTGGCCCTGTCATTCTTTCACACGTGTGTAGCAGGACATGTTTTTGGAAACAGCATGAACTAAGGATTGCAGCTGAATTTGGAACGCAGCTTCCTCCCTGTCTTTGGAAGATGCGTGAGTGCAAGTGCCATGAACTTGGCCGTATGCTCGTCGGGCCTCAGTGTGACTTGCAGAGGCCACTTCCAGCGTGGCGCGCCGGGGAGGGTGCAGCCTTGCTCTCCCCATGCTCACGGGCACTTTGCCGCCGTGATTCCTTACTCTTCGGCAACACTCCCCCTCCCCCCGCCCACAGCAGCACAAACTTGAAGCCAGCAATGAGAATTAAAGTTCTCATTAATTTTATTTTTCTCTTCCTAAATAGGAAAGCCAAAATGGAAGTCTCGGATGTTCAGATTTACACGGCTGCCTTTTTCTCTTAGAGTAGGCTGGGCAGCAAGCCATCTTGACCACACACCTTGGTTTCGTGTTTTTGTTGATTGGAAGCCTGATTTAAAGATGGCTGTGACGGGCTCTGACGACAGCCTCTGAAGAGCTCAGATCTGTCGGCTCAATAAGGCGCATCTGTCAGTCTTCCTGGAGCCCCCACTTAATGCCACTCGCTCCTTCTGATGTGCCACCAAGTGCCACTGTGAATGTCATCTTCCCCCAGTCCTGCTGATGCCAGCAGATCTCCCACGGCGCAGGGTGTTGGCATTTGGGCGATTGCAGGTGCCGCGGACCCCGGTCTGTGTGTTATCACGCTCGGTCTCCTGAATCGCGTGCGGGAGTCCCATCACGTCGGGTAACTGTGGGCTTCGGCCGCCTGGCATTCCCCCAGTTGTTTTCTTTTTAAATGAAAGGCTCTTTAAAAACAACTTTCCTGCCTGAGGAACAGAGGAAGCTCTGGGAGAAGTTGGAGCCTGTTATCGGACTCCTGGCCCATCCTGAAAAGTAGAATGTGCTAGAGAGCAGGACAGTATGACCCATAGATCCTTCTATGAGATCAGCGTGGCTGGTATTTTCAGAAGAGCAGAATTCTGGGAAGTAAGAATTAGTGTGGCTTTTTCCATTTTTTTTTTCTTTTTTTTACAAGGTGCCGTCCCTTCTCTGAAAAACCTTAAACTGGCTGTACTTTATAGTCTTAACGTACAATCTGAATTTATCTCACCTCGTGTGCGTTTCGGTGTGTTTCCTTGTGGAAACGTTAGCCATGCTTGATAATGGGGTACTTGTTCCAGCCCCCCTCTGGGTATGTTACATGTACACTGCTGTGCTTCTCAAACTTTCATGGGCACGAGGATTATCTTGTTAAAGTAATGATCCTTGTCCAGCAGGTTTGGGGCGAGGCCTGGGATTCTGCTTTTCCAACACCCTTCTAAGGATCGCCCATGGGGCTAGTCTGTGGGTTATACCTCCAGACAGGTCACATCATAGATGCATCCTATTACCCTTTTTTTCTTTTTCTTAAAAAGTGGGTTTATTGATTGCCCATGTTAGGTAGCTCAGTTAGTTAGAGCGTCAGCCCGATATGCCAAGTTTTGAATTTGATCTCTGGTCAGGACATATACAAGAAGCAACCAATGAATATGTGGGACAACAAACCGATGTTTCCCTCTCCCTTCCTCTGTCTTTCAATTTTTAAAAATTTGGTTTACTGAGGTAAACTTTGCTTATAGCAAATGCACTCCTTTTAATGTACATTTCTGAGTTTTGACAAATGCACTCAGTCATGTAGCCACCACCAAAATCAAAGTAGGGAACAGTTCTGTCCGCCCAGGTTACCCCCCAAAGCCCCTTTGAGCCAGCTCCTCACTGCCCAAGTCCCTTGCTGGCACTATCTGTTCTCCATCTTTATAGGTTTGCTTTTTCCCAGAAGCTTATATAAATAGAATCCCACAGTGTAGCCTTTGAGTCTGGCTTCTTTCACAGAGCCTTTGCAGTCCATTCATGTTGTTGTGGTGCCGGTAGTTGGTTCTTTTTCAGTGCTGCGTAGTATTCCATGGGACGGGTGGACCAGAATCTGTTCATCCATTTCTCAGTTGAGGAACACTTGAGATGCCTCCTGGTTGGGTGATTGTGAATAAAGCCACTATGAACACTGGCAGATGGGTTTCAAAGGGAGCATTGGGAACCTACATTCCCCTTCTCTTGGGTAAACAAATACCCAGGGGCAGGATTGCTGGGTTGTGCGGTAAATTTATGTTTAACTTTGTAAGAGACCGTCAGACTGTTTTTCCAAAGTGGCTGTGCCATTTTAACATTCTCACCCTTGTTATTCTTCTAAAAGCATCAAA